GAGCTTTTGGTGTTTCTGCGTTGCAGGTAAATCCCATCTCAGATAGCTGGCTCTTCTAATATTATCGACTTACGGATTAATTCTCAAGTTAAAATTCAACCCCTCTTTCAAGGCATCACTTGCATCTCATTTTTAGTGAAAATTATTTTAGCTTTTTGAAATGTATTTTCGTTTCACTCTTTTAGTTTGAATACATGGCCCAGCACCTGTTCTTCGCGAACTGCATTCCTCTTGTGCTGAAATTCTTTAACCAGAACACCCTGTCTTATGTTCAGGCCAAACACACGTAAGTCCATCTGAGGCCAATCCGAACTATCTAATAATTTACTTTGCAGGATAGCATGCTTGGACTTCCCTGCCCGCGTAATCGGTGAGGTGCCCGAGCTAACACCCGAACTCTTGGTAAGGAAAGTGCCGACGTGTTTGCCTTTCACTCCTACAACTTGTCAGTGGTGTAGTAGGCTATGAAATTTAGGTAGGACCCTCTACACGTCGACTCAAAATTAGAGGCTATATAATATGAGTGCGTTTTTCTCGTCCAGAGCAGGTGATCTCCTTTATTCCTCCTAGTAGTGATCTTATCCCGTCTTGTAAAACCTATACCTCAACCCGATTTCATTGTCAGATTGATTTGGCTTTCTTGGGGGACATTAATTAAGTCTCCATTTGGATCTGTACGACAATAGGGCGCAAAAAACTTAGCCATTAACAACTTGCGCAAACCGGCCTTTGCGGGCGACTAATTTTTGGGGGTTTAAGTGTATGTACCTTGAAAAAATCTGTTACGGAAAGGCCATTTTTTCCATCGTTAATCTTGTATTTTGTCAATCTTCTAGTTTTCGCAGACTACAAATACTTAAGAATTGCATTCCCATCGAACTCCGTCAGTCATAGCTGGGTTTGCTTTTATGAATCTCTGTAAACATTGCTAACAATAGCAGAAAGTTACAAGATGGATCAAATTGACTCCCTTTGTCTTTAGTGTGTGTGTGTGTGTCGTAGCCCATAGTTGGATCAGGAATCC